CCCATTCTACTTTTAAATACTCTAGGAACAACAAGTAAGCCTGCAGTGCGAGAGCGAAGTGCTCTAATGGGGTGATATGGTCCTATAAGGTCATTAAGATAAGACGGGACCTGATTATTTAAGACCTTGTATGTGAGGAGCAGGATTTTGAATTCAATTCTGGATTTAACAGGGAGCAAATGAAGGTTCCTGATAGCTGACTTCACAAATGTCGAAAGGGGACCAAAAGCATTCATTATCTTAGGTACATGTCTGTCAGGAGCACATACGAGGAATTCAGATTCAAACATCTTGGGGCTTAAAAACAAAAAGTATAACTGGATGTCATTTGCATAGCAGTGGTAGCAAATGTCCTCAAAGGGGCTCAAAATATGCTGGAGAGGAAGTAGATATATTAAAAACAATAAAGGCCCCAATACAGAATCTTGTGGCACACCATAGGTGAGGGAAGTACTTAGAAACTGCCACAGAAAAGTATCATTCATACAGATATGAGGAGAACCACTTTAAGGCAGATCCAGATACACCGACCCAATATTTCAGCCTTTTAAGCAGAACGTGATGGTAAGCTGCATCAAAGGCCAACGTGAGGTCCAACATCAGCAGAACAGAACATTTTCCTGCATCGTTTTGCATCAAAATGTCACTGGAGACTCTAAGAAGGGCTGTTTCAGTAGAATGAGCTCTGCGTAAGCCAGACTGAAATTTGTCAAGAATATTGTGTTTATCCAAAACTGCTGTAAGCTGCTTAGCCACAACCTTTTCACTGAATGTATCACAAACCTACTGATTGGCAAAATCATGGTGCGTTCACTGACCTGCTCCCAGCCCTCCGTGCTCTGCTGGGTACTGCACCGAGAGGCTGAGCTGCAGGCCCACCTGAGTCTTGCCGGTGCCACTCTCTCCAGCCAGCTCAGTGATGCCCCCCACAGGCAAACCGCCCCTCAAAAGGCGGTCCAGAACTGGACAGCCGAGCCTGAGCTGGGCGCCAGACACGCCGTGCTGCAGCTGCTGTGCTAAACACATACACATACACACACACTTGGTTAATGCATGATATCACATCACACAGTATGTCCAGTAAGACTCTTCTCCTGACCTGTGATTGGAGGGTGCCTTCTGCAGACGGCAGCGGCAGCAGTGATCAGCTGCTGGACATCAGAGTTGGACAAACCGGTGAGTCTCTGCAGGTCTGGAGCAGAAGCACAGACCACATCCTGCACAGACTTTAGCTGAACTGCAGCAGGAGAAGCACAAGTGGTTACCACGGAAACAATGGAAACAACCACAAAAAAAAAAGGAAGTCCAAGCAATTCATCACATCTCTGAATCTTTGGTGTTCACTGTCTAATCTCTAATAATCTGAATGGATTCTTAAAAAGAGCCAGCTGTCCCAGCTAATTACAGGCCAACCTCTAACCTTCCTTTCATCTTAAACATTCTTGAAAGAGTAGTTGTCAAACAGCTAACAGATCATCTGCAGAGGAATGGCTTATTTGAAGAGTTTCAGTCAGGTTTCAGAGCTTATCACAGCACAGAAACAGCTTTAGTGAAGGTTACAAATGATCTTCTTATGGCCTCATGACTCATCTCTGTAGGACTGCTTTCTTCCATTTGAGCAATATCTCTAAAATTAGAGCTGTCCTGTCTCAGAGTGACGCTAAAAAACTAGCTTATGCATTTATTACTTCTAGGCTGGTTCATTATTATGAAGATGTAGCAAAAACTCCCTGAAAATACCTTCAGTTAATTCAAAATGCTGTAGCAAGAGTACTGACAGGGACTAGAGAGAGAGAGATTCGTCTACACAGTTATAATATTTGGAATAACAAGGATATCCTATATAAAGAAAACTTTTTTCTTAGATAGTTGGTTTAGGAACAACATTATTTTACTCAACCAATTATTCGATTCAAATGGTATGCTTTTCTCATATGACGAATTTTGTCTACATTTCAATTTAGCAATAAATCATGACAATTATATTAAAGCATTTGGGTCTATACCTTCAGGGGTTTGTATGCTTTATAAGAATAAACACTAATATCCCTTCATACCACAGGCCACTGGCATCTCCAATACAAACTGTTGTTGGTAAGACTTCTGGCAGAGATGTGTTTTTATCTCAGAACATGTATTTAAAGGATTTGCACTGTTCTGAAAATATGTATTATTTGGGCTCCACAAAAACTAAAGACAATTCAACATTGATAACAGGTATATGATTAACTTGTTAATCTTAAAGGCTAAATTTCATATTCACAAATCCAAATGTTTAGGGAGACATCCCTCCTTTTATGTATACTCCTATGAGCTTTTATAATATCTAAATTCAATTAAGAATTCTACTAACCCCAAAGCTATAAAGGCTATGGTTGTATGTGAAAAAATAAAGATCCTCCAATCTCTTTACTCTTTGGCTTAATCAGTTAAACTTCTCCCCTTAGCGTATGCGTATTGTAGGTTCTGAAAAATGGTCGTTTGTTTGTTTGTGGTTTACAATTTCTTTAAGTACAACACCTTCAATGTAATTGTCACGATCCTGGGTCTTATGACCCAGTGTTTTGAGTTTTAGTTCTTTTGATGTTTATAGTGTTTGTTTAAGCTTATTAGGTTTCTTATGTTCATTTGCTTATTAGCTCCCCCTTGTGTTTTCAACCCCTGTGAAGTCTCCCTTGCCCTTCGTGTGTTTCATGTCTGTGTGTCTTATGTTGTCATGTCTGCCTCTCATGTTTCAAGTTTGAGTTTTAGAATGTCTGCACCTGGGTCCACTCTTCACACTCCACGCAGTTTGCCTTGGCAAACTGTGACAGTAATACTGTTTTAATTCTACTTTGTACTGACCTTTAAACATAGCTGGACCGGCCACCGGGCATACCGGGCATTTGCCCGGTGGGCCGATGTGATTTTTCGTTTTTATGGGCCGATGGTTTTTTATTTATTTTTTGGTAACGGTATAAACAATGAAAGGTGGTGGATTGGCCAGATGCTGGCCGGTGTGTAAAAATAACTCAGTTGTTTGGTGGTGGCTATCGCAGAGCTTCCACAGATTCAGTAACATTAGCAAGTGGTGGAGGCCAGCAGGTGGATGAGAGAAAGGGGAGGCAGGAGAAGAAGAGACCCGAGGCAGACGCAGGTCCAAGTGTCAGGTGAACTGAACTTCAGGTAAGAAGTTATGACCTGCAGTCTATCTGGGTCAGATATAAACCAAGTTTAGGTAGAGTTTATTTTCGTTGTGCTGACTTTTCAGTCAGTTACAATTACTCGTACTGCGTGCTAGCTAACATGACGGAGTTTCTATACAGCTGGGTGGGTGCTATGATGTTACTGATAGTGAACTTTATTTTATTCATAAGGTTAGTTAGTAGAGTTGCCAACCGTCCTGTAAAAAGACGGAATCGTCCTGCATTGAGAAAAAATATTACGTGTTTAGTAGGGGTGCAACGATACACAAAATTCACGGTTCAGTTCAGTTCGATACTTTGGTGTCACAGTTCGATATTTTTTCGATACAAAAAAAAATGTTCATGCCTTTTTAATTTGTCATTTATTAAATTTTCACGGCACATTCTGCACCACATCTCTGTGCGTTCATCATTTGTTTGAAGCCAGCTCACCTCCTGCAACCACTGCGATCAACTTCTCACATGT